TGACCCAGAGCTGTCCCTTCTTCCCATGTCAGCCTGGCCCAGAGCTGTCCCCTCCTTCCTCTTCCCCAAGTCAGCCTGGCCCCAGAGCTGTCTCTCCTTCCTCCCCTTCCCAAGTCAGCCTGGCCTAGAGCTGTCCCTCTTTCCTCCTCTTCCTTGCCGGCCTGGCCCAGAGCTGTCCTCCTTCCCTCTCCTTCCTATGTCAGCCTGCCCAGAGAGCTGTCGCCCTTCCTCCTTTCATGTCAGCCTGGCCCAGAGCTGTTCCTCCTTCCTCCTTCCCAAGTCAGCCTGGCCTAGAGCTGTCCCTCCTTCCCTCTTCCTAAGTCAGCCTGGCCCAGAGCTGTCCCTCCTTCCTCCCTTCCCAAGTCAGCCTGGCCCAGAGCTGTCCCTCCTTCCTCCCTTCCCAAGTCAGCCTGGCCCAGAGCTGGGGCGACAGATAGCATCCCGGTCACCTTGGGCTGCCCCCGAGCCGAACTCCTCTGTCCTGTTCTGGGAAAGCAGGCGAAGTCCCTGCCTGCAAGGTTTCCCCACGTACCTGCAGGACGCCGTCTGTCTTAAGGCACGAAGCCTGCAGCTTCCACAGAGGATGCCCGTCACAGCCGCTCTCTGCTCCATCTCAGGTGACCACTGGCCATCTCGAAAGCAACCTGCTTTGATGGCTTTCAAGCCTGAAGCTCCTTCCTCTCCAGCCCCTGCCATCGGGGGCGGGGAATGGGGACAGGATGGAGACAGAGGCAGGCCCAGCCCGCCAGTTGTAGGGGCTAGGGACAGAATCCCACCACTTGGGTACCCAGGGAAGGCCCCACCCCGGATTGAAACGTTTGTGGGTCCGAGAAGGTTCTGGAACTCAGCCCAGGAAGACGCTGGCATGGGGGCCCCTCGGTGGAGAGAACCACAGGCGCCTGACCTAGGGGGAGCCCAGGGCCTGCGTGGTCTTGGCTGCTGGGAGTGGGCTGGGGGGCCACGTGATTGCAGCAGGCCCTCCGGCGTGGCCTCCCTGTGTTCTGGTCCCCACGCCCATGTGTGCCCTTAAACCAACAGTCCATGAAGGGCGTCCCGCAGGTGGAAGGAACCTGCAGGACACCCTCAGCAGAAGCCGGATACAGGGTCCCTGGGACTTATTCCCTCTCACTCTCCCTTCTGGGTCTGCTGGAACTTTTTTTTTTTTTTTTTTTGAGGAGTCTCGCTGTCGCCCAGGCTGGAGTGCAGTGGTGCGTTCTTGGCTCAGTGCAACCTCCGCCTCCCAGGTTCAAGCAATTCTCCTGCCTCAGCCTCCCCAGTAGCTGGAATTACAGGTGCCCGCCACCACGCCCAGCTAATTTTTTTGTATTTTCAGTAGAGACGGGGTTTCACCATGTTGGCCAGGCTGGTCTCGAGCTCCTGACCTCAGGCCTCTCAAAGTGCTGGGATGACAGGCGTGAACCACCGCGCCCAGCCCGTCTTTTTATTCATTGGAGTAACTGTGCAAAAGCAGCACCTCTGGACTCTGAGAGTCCGTGTGGCATGCATAGAACATCGCGAAGACTGCGATGATTTAAAACCCAGTGGGGTGACAAGGCTGGAATTCTGCACAGGGCAGCCTGGCCGGCCGGGTTCACCCACTCCCTCCTCCTCTACTCAGCGAACGCCGCACTGAGGGCGTGGTGCATACCAGGAGTGTCCGTCTGGCTCTAAAACACCCTCTGGATTTATTTGGGGGCTGGGGTGGGGGAAGGAGGAGGACAGCAGACCCTCAGGATGATGCTGACTACACAGCTCCTCCCCACCTGCCGAGCTCAACGCCTTGTTCCAGGAAAGCTTTGCAGAGAGCCCTTTTCCAGGGTAAAGGTCTTAGGGGGCTCTTCGCGGGGGAGAGGTCTTGGGGAGCCTTCGAGACAGAGATCTTGGGGAGTTCTCTTCCAGGGGCAGGTCTTGGGGGGCCTCTTTGGGGGGAAGGCTTTGGGGGACCCTCTTCATGGGGGAACTCTGGGGGGCCTCCTTCAGAGGGCAGGTATCGGGGGGACCCCTTTGGGGAGGCCTTTTGAGGAGCCCTTTTCAGGGCAGTGGCCCTGGGAGTCCCTTTTCAGGGAGGAGGTCTTGGGGAACCCTCTTCAGAAAGAAGGTCTTTTGGGGGTCCTCTTCTGAGAAGAGGGGTCTGTGAGGCCCCCTCATCCTGCAGCCTCATCAGCTGCCTGTGAGGCTGGCCCACACTTCTTACGGGCAGAGCCTCGGAAATGACTAATTACAGAACAGCTGCTGTGGCCCCACCCAACACAGAGCCTGGCACCCCACCCCACCCCGCGAAAAGCCCACCTCAGCCCTGCTCTGATTCCTTCCCGGCCATCGGATGAAGCCTAACGTCTTTCCATTAAAGCACCTCTGCTTCCGGGTGGGACGCGGTGGCTCACACCTGTCATCCCTGCACTTTGGGAGGCCGAGGCGGGCCGATCGCATGAGGTCAGGAGTTCGAGACCCGCCTGCTGCTTGGGCCCGGCACCCAGGATGTGCTTGGCAAATGCTTCTGGAATGGATGGATGACACCCCGTCTCTATTAAAAATACAAAAATGAGGCGTGGTGGCACGCACCTGCAATCCCAGCTACTTGGGACGCTGAGGCAGAAGAAATGCTTGAACCTGGGAGGCGGGGCTTGCAGTGAGCCGAGATCGCGCCACTGCACTCCAGCTTGGGCGACAGACCAAGACTCCGTCTCCACACACACACACACACACAAAACCCACCTCTACTTGTATATGAACCCACCACTTTTCTGACCCCCAGGGGGCTTTCTGGACGCAGATTCCATGACAGCACCCGCTGGTCAGGCAGCAGTGATCTCTGAAGCCACGCAGGTAATTTTATCAGACGCTGGCAGATAAGGGGTCCTCGTGGCTGAGTGCCTGGCAGGCGGATCGGGACTCACTCTTCTCTACTCAGTCCTTGGAGGGGAAGGGCGGTGAGAGAGACAAGCTCTACTCCCACTACCCAGCAGCTGTTCTCTCCCTCACTTCCAATTCCCGGCTGTGAGGCTCACCTCACCCTCCTTTCCCAGGGAGGCCATGTCCCCGGGTTCCGGGGCAGGTGGCCCCAAAGGCCTCCCAGGTCATGCCCTAGTCAGGCATGGCGACTGTGTTGTTCCCTCCCAGATACGAGGGGCAAAGGGGTTAGCGTCCAGGGCTAGGTCCCACGTGCTGCACTCTGTACGGAAAACCAGCCCCAGTCAGCAATTCATTCATCCATCCATCCATCCTTCCATCCATCCATCCTTCCAGTCATCCATGCATTCCAGAATCATTTGCCAAGCAAGCACATCCATCCATCCATCCATCCACCCACCCATTCATTATCCATCCATCTGTTCATCCATCATGTATCCATCCATCCATCCATTCCAGCATTTGCCGATCGAGCAATCCATCCGTCCACCCACCCACCTATTCATTATCCATCCACCCATCCATTCATTCCAGAATCATCTGCCAAGCAAGCACATCCATCTGTCCATCCATCCATCCATCCATCCACCCACCCACCCACCCATTATCCATCCATCATCCATCCATTATCTATCCGTCCATCATTGATCCATCCATATCCATCCATTATCCATCACCCATCCATTCATCCATTATCCATCCATCCATCTTCTGTTCATTATCCATCCATTCATTATCCATTATCCATCCATCACCCATCCATCATCCATTCATTATCCATCCATCAACTATCCACCCAATATCCATCCATCCGCGTTATCCATCCATCCATTATCCACCCATCCACCCATCATCCATCCATCCATTATCCATCATCTGTTCATTATCCATCCATTATCCATCATGTATCCATCCATCCATCCATCCATCCATCCATTATCTATCCATCCTTCCATCCATCCATCATCCATTCATCCATCCATCCATTATCCATTCATTCCAGAATTTGGTTTAGGCATACATCCATCTATCCATGCATCTGTCCACCCACCCATCCATTATCCATCCATCCATCCACCCACCCACCCATTCATTATCCTTCCATCCATCCATCATCCATCCATCCATTCACCCATCCACCCATTCATTATCCATCCATCCACCCACCCACCCATTCATTACCCATCCATCCATCATCTATCCATCCATCCATCCACCCATCTATTATCCATCCGTCCACACATTATCCCTCATTCCAGAAGCATTTGCCGAAAGAGCATATCCATCTATCCACGTATCTAGATCCAGTCATCCATGCATCATCTATCCATCATCCATCCATCCATTATCCATCCATTCCAGCATTTGCCGATTGAGCAATTCATCCGTCCACTCACCCACCCATTCATTATCCATCCATCCATCCATTCATTCCAGAATCATTTGCCAAGCAAGCACATCCATCTGTCCATCCATTCATCCATCATCTATCCATCCATCCATTCCAGCATTTGCCGATCGAGCACCCATCCGTCTACCCACCCACCTATTATCCATCCACCCATCCATTCATTCCAGAATCACTGCCACAAGCACATCCATCTGTCCATCCATCCACTACTCCACCTACCCATTATCCATCCATCCATTATCCATCATCTATCCGTCCATCATTGATCCATCCATATCCATCCATCATCCATTATCTATCACCCATCCATTCATCCATTATCCATCCATTCATTATTCATCCATCCATTCATTATCCATCCATTATCCATCCATTATCCATCTATCACCCATCCATCATCCATCCATCCATCCATCCATCCATCCATCATCCATCCATGCATCCATTATCCATCCATTATCCATCCATCATCCATGCATCCATTATCCATCCACCCATTATCCATCCACCCAGTATCCATCCATTATCCATCCATCATCTATCCATTATCCACCCATCCACCCATCATCCATCATCCATCCACCCATCATCCATCCATCCATCATCCATCCATTATCCATCATCTGTTCATTATCCATCCATCCATTATCCATCCCTCCATTATCCATCATGCATCCATCCATCCATCACCCATCTATCCATTCATTATCCATCCATCCATTCATTATCCATTCATCCATCCATCCATTATCCACCTATCCATCCATTCCAGAAGCACTTCCCAAGCACATCCTGTGTGCCAGGCCCAAGCAGGCAGGCATCCTCCTGGCTCGGAGAGGAGCCTGAGCAGAGCCCACAGACAGCACCACCCTGCTGGTGGGTCACCAAGCCACCAAGCCAGTGCAGGCTGAGGGCCGAGCACACAGAGCGCTGTCTCAGTGTCTGGACGTGGTTAGCCGTCCCCACCCGCATGGAAGGAACCTTCTTCTCTCCCCTAAGACAGGCTTTGCAGACTTGGAAAGGGAACGCCGTGTTCCGGGGCCCAGGGCCTGGAACCCCGGCCAGAGCAGATGTGAACCAGCCTCATCTGGAAATAGCAGCTCCGGTCCCGGCTCGCTGGCACTGAAAACCAGCACCAGGGCCCCGTCCTGTGCAGCCTCGCTGAGGCTGGGAAACGAACACAGGCCTGTGGGGCGCAGCGCCCCAGCAAACTCCCCACCCCTGCCCGGCACCCACACTGCTCCCGGCCTCCTGCAGGGAGCCTGGCTTGGTCCTGGGTCCTCAGAGGACACTGTCCACCGCCGGTGCCCTAGCAGAGCCTCAGGAATGTGCTTGGTCTCCACGCCCTCCCCACAGCAAGGGCCCAAGGTTAGACCTACCCATGCTTCAGTGACTTCTGGGCCACCCGTCCCGCCGCCCAGCAGCCGCTCCAGCCGCCAGAGCCGACCCCAACCTCCAGCCCCAGCCTCAGCCGCTCTCCCTAGAGGTCAGAAAAAGCCTCAGGCAGGGCTCACAGCTGTGCCCAGGAGTCACCCAGGGTGAGTCCGCTCTCCAGGGCGAGCGGGTCGCTCCTGTCCACCCACAGCCAGGGACTGTACTTCCTCACCACACAAGGGAGATAAAGAAAAAACAAGAGCGAGAAAGCAAAGGGAGAGAAAAGAAAGGAAAGGAGAAGGAAACGGAAAGAACAGGAAGGAAAAGAAGGGAGGAAAGGAAGGAAGGAGGAAGAGCGGGAGGAGAGGAAAAAAGAGGGAAAGAAAGGGAGAGACGGGAAAGGCAGGAAATGAAACGAAGAGGGAGAGGGAAAGAAAAAAAAGGAAGGAAAGATGGGAGGGACAGGAGAAAGGGAGGAAAAGGGCAAAGGAGGAGGCGGGGAGACAGGAAAGAAGGAAATCCCACACCCGTCCCGCCGCTCCAGCTCTCCAGCCACAGAGCGACCCCAACCTCCAGCCCCAGCCTCAGATAGCCCCAGAGGTCAGAAACCAGGCAGGGCACCAGCTGTGCCCAGGACACCCAGGGGAGTCCGCCCAGGCGCAGCTGGTCGCCTCCTGTCCACCCACAGCCAGGACTGTACTTCCTCACCACACAAGGGAGATAAAAGAAACCAATATTCTGTCACGACATTGTTGTTTGTTTATTAAAAATGGTCCCAGGAGCCAATCATGAATGTTAGCGAGGAAAGGAAGGAAGGAGGAAGAGCCGGAGGAGAGGAAAGAGGGAAAGAAAGGAGAGAGACGGAAAGGCAGGAAATGAACCAAGAGGATAAAGAGGGAAAGAAAAATGAATGAAAGACGGAGGATTATGATGAGCGATGAAAGTACGCTAAATGAGATAGAGGAAAAGGGCAAAGGAGGAGGCGGGGAGACAGGAAAGAAGGAAATGGGGAGGGAGGAGAGAAGAAAAAGGAAAAAGAGGGAGGGAGGAGAGAAGAGGCAGGGAGGGAGGAAAGAAAAACAGGCAGGAGATAAGAAAAAAGAAAGGGAGGCCGGGCGCGGGGGCGCACGACTGTAATCCAGCACTTTGGGAGGCCGAAGCGGGCGGATCACCTGAGGTCAGGAGTTCGAGACCAGCCTGGCCAACATGGTGAAACCCCGTCTCTCCTAAAAATAAAAATAAAATAGCCGGGGGTGGTGGCACCAGCCTGTAGTCCCAGCTAGTTAGGAGGCGGAGGCAGAAGAATCTCTTGAACCTGGCAGGCGGAGGTTGCAGTGAGCTGAGATCACGCCACTGCACTCCAGCCTGGGTGACAGAGCGAGGCTCCATCTCAAAAAAAAAAAAAAAAAAAAAAAGGAAAACGGGGAGAAAGGGAGAAACAGAGAGAAAGAAAAGACCGAGACAGGAAAGAATAAAATAAAGGAAAAACAAAAAGGGAGGGAGAAAGAGAGGGAGGAAAGACGAGAAAAGAACGGAAAAGACACGACCAGGCACAGTGGCTCACGCCTGTCAGACTCCTGGCACTTTAGGAAGCCGATGTGGGCGGATCCCCTGAAGTCGGGAGTTCGAGACCAGCCTGGCCAACGTGGTGATACCCCGTCTCTACTAAAAATATAAAATTAGCCGTGCGTGGTGGCGGGTGCCTGTAATTCCAGCTACTCGGGAGGCTGAGGCAGGAGAATCCCTTGAACCCGGGAGGCGGAGGTTGCAGTCCAGCCTGGACAACAAGAGCGAAACTGTGTCTCAAAAATAAATACATAAAATAAAATGGGAAAGAGACGGGGGAGAAAGGGAAGAGAGGGAGGGAGACAGGAAAGAAAGAGGAAAAGGGAGGGAAGGAGGGAAAGGGAGAAAAAGGAGGAAGGGAAGGAAAGAGAAAAAGGAGGAAGGGAAGGAAGGAGGGAAAGGAGTAAGGAGAAGGAAGGAAAGAGAAAAAGGAGGAAGGGAAGGAAACAGAAAAAGGAGGAAGGAAGGAAAGAAAAAGGAGGAAGTGGAAGGAAAAGGAAAAGGAAGAAGGAAAGAGAAAAAGGAGGAAGGGAAGGAAAGAGGAAAAGGATGAAGGGAAGGAAAGAGAAAAAGGAGGAAGGGAAGGAAAGAGGAAAAGGAGGAAGGGAAGGAAAGAGGAAAAGGAGGAAGGGAAGGAAAGAGGAAAAGGATGAAGGGAAGGAAAGAGAAAAAGGAGGAAGGGAAGGAAAGAAAAAGGAGGAAGGAAAGAGGAAAAGGATAATATATACAGAAGAAAGAGAAAAGAGGGAGGAAGGTTGGAAAGTGATGAAGGGAAGGAAAGAGAAAGGAGGAAGGGAAGGAAAGAGGAAAGGATTATGGAAGGAAAAGATAAAAAGGAGAAGAGGAAGTATGAGGAAAAGGAGTGAAGGGAAGAAGAGGAAAGGATGAAGGAAGGAAAGAGAAAAAGGAGGAAGGAAGAAAGAGAAAAAGGATGAAGGGAAGGAAAGAAAAAGGAGGAAGGAAAGAGGAAAAGGAGGAAGGAGGAAAAGGAAGAAGGAAAGAGAAAAAGGAGGAAGGGAAGGAAAGAGGAAAAGGAAGAACGGAAGGAAACAGGAAAAGGGGAGAAGGAAAAAGGGAGAAAACCATAAGAGGGAGGGAGGAAAGAAAAAACAGAGGAAGGGCGGAGAGAGAAAAGAAGAAAAGGAGGGAGGAGAAAAAAGAAAAAGAGAGAAGAAAGGGAGCAAGAAAGGAAGGAGAGAGGGAGACAGAAATGAAGGAAAAAGGCAGGGCGGGAAAGGAAGGGAGAGGCGGAAAGAGGGAGAAAAAGGAGGGAGGCGGGAAAGCAGCAAAAGTCAAAGGCAAGCGGGGGAAGGAGGGAGACGGGGGGCCAAGGGCGGGCGGGAGAGAGCGGGAAGGGAGAGGAGGAGGAGGAGGAAGCAGAAAAGGCGGGAGGGAGGGAGAGGGAGGGCGGGCAGGGAGGCCGGGAAGGGGGACCCCGGCCGCAGCCCCCCAAACCGACGGACACTGGCAGATCGGGGAGCCCAGGGCGGGTGGGCGCGGCCCAGGGACCCCCCAGCCCGAGCGCGGAGGGCGGCGCGGGGTCAGAGGTCGGAGGCCCAGGGACCCGCGGGCGGTGGGCGTGGCTCAGGACCCCCAGCCGAGCGCGCGAGAGGGCGGCGCGTCAGAGGTCGGAGGTCACAGGGACCCGCCCCCACCCAGGACGGGCGCGGAGGGCGGCGCGCGCGGGGTCAGAGGTCGGGAGGCTCAGACCCGCCCCCCACCCAGACGGGAATGGGCGCGGAGGGCATCATGGGGCTGAGGTCGGAGACTCAGGACCCGCCCCCGCCACCCAGGACGGAGCGGAGGGCACTGGGCGGGGTCAGAGGTCGGAGGTCTAGGGACCCGCCCCCCACCCAGGACGGCGCGGAGGGCGGCGCGGGGTCAGAGGTCGGAGGCCTGTGACTCCGCCCTCACTCCAGGACGGGAGCGCGGAGCTCCGCGGGTCAGAGGTCGGAGGCCCAGGACCGCCCCCACCCAGGACGGGCGCGAGTGGCACCGCGGGGTCAGAGGTCGGAGGCTCAGGACCCGCCCACCCGTGGACGGCGCGGAGGGCGCGGCGCGGTCAGAGGTCGTTGAGTTCAGGGACCGCCTCCCACCCAGGACGGAGGTTGAGGCACCGCGGGGTCAGAGGTCGGAGGCCCAGGGACCCGCCCCCACCCAGGACGGGCGCGGAGGGCACCGCGGGGTCAGAAGTCGGAGGCCCAGGGACCCCACCCCCACCCAGGACGGGCGCGGAGGGCGGCGCGGGGTCCCCCGGGTACACTCCGGCAGGGAACGGGGTCTCCCGAAGTGGGACCCGGGAGAGTGTGACGGGGTCGGAGCCGCCTGGAGGTCAAGGGTCAAGGGTCGGGGGTCGGGGCACCACGTGTTGCGCATCCCGGCCGGGTCGCCGCGGCCTCCGGGAGAAAGCGGGCGGCGCTTTCGGAGCGACCCAGGTACCAGGGTGGGCTCCTGACTCCGCAGCCGCCCGCCAGCCCGCTCGGGTACCGGCAGCGGCGTGACCTTCACAAGGTCAAGGCTGCAGCGGACACCCCCGCGCTGCCCCTACGGCGCATGGGCGGACCCTGACTCCCGGCATACCTCGGGGTGCGAGGCGGGGCGTCTCCGGGGAGCGCAGCCAATGGACGCGGTGCGCTGGTGAACGGGGCGGGGCGCGGCGGGGTTCCCGGCAGCCCTCGGGGGCGCGGCACGCAGGCGGGGGCGGGTCGTGGCCGGGCGGCGCAGCCAATGGGCGCGGCGCGAGGGGGCGTGGAGGCGGGGATGGGCGTGGCGTCGGCGCCTTAGCGGCTGCGCAGTGGCCGCTCCGTCCTTTCGGTCCCGGCGGCGGCAGGGCTGAGCCAGCGACGCCCTCCATTCACTCTCCGCGCCCGCTCTCCGGCTGTCCGCCCGTTCCGCTGCCCGCCCCGCCACCATGACGGAACAGGCCATCTCCTTCGCCAAGGACTTCTTGGCCGGAGGCATCGCCGCCGCCATCTCCAAGACGGCCGTGGCTCCGATCGAGCGGGTCAAGCTACTGCTGCAGGTGGGGACGCGGGCGCGGCCGCTCCGGGGACGGCGGGACGGGAACCGAGTGGCCGGGCCGGGAGGGGACGCGGGCAGCGGAACCCTGCGAGCGGGCGCCGGAAGTGGAAGGCCGCGATTGCTTTGTCCACGCGCCGCCGGCTTCCGGGGCGAGCGTCACGTGACCGCTGCGGCAGGGCGTGGCGACGTCCACGCGTGCGCACTGGGCCCGGCCGGCGGCGGGGATGCGGTGCGGGCCTGAGGGCGCATGCGCGATGGAGCAGGGTCCCGGGATGCACCTTGCAGCGGGCGGGCCTTGACCTTGAACTCAATCCTGCGGGTCTTCCGGGCTGGGACCAACCTTTCCGGCGGTCGCCTGGCCGGTGTCTGCTCTTGCCCCGTCCACCGTGAAGGGCCATTCTAAGGCCCACGGGGCAGCGAGCCTGCCCGCAGGTGTCCTGGAATAACCAGGATATGGTTACTGGTTATTGCTCTTTATAGCTCATTTGTGTAGTTCTGATCCAGAGCGATGCATTTTTTTGTCTTTGGGGAGAGGGTTATCGAAAGTAGCACGATGCCTAGGAACACTGCTGCCAGGACGCCCTTGTTCACTCCCAGTGACCAGCTCGGTGATGGGAATGAATGGGTTTGGCTGCAAGTACAGGTCACGCCCGCGATCCCAGCGCTTTTGAGAGGCCCGGGGAGGATCGCTTGACGTCAGGAGTTTGAGAGCAGCGGGGGGCAGCAGAGCAAGACCCCACCTCAAAAAGAAATTATTTTAACTGAAGGAAGCAGGGCGTGCCAGTGCGTTGAGAGGCCCGGGGAGGATCGCTTGAGCTCAGCAGTTTGAGACCAGCCCTCTAAGATAATTGTTTTAAACTTAGCAGGGTGGCGTGTTCCACGAGTTTGAGACCAGCCAGGGCAACATAGCAAGACCCCATCTCTAAGAAAAATGTTTAAACTTACAGGGCTGGGTATCCCAGCACTTTGAGAGGCCCAGGGAGGATCACCTGAGCTCAGGAGTTTGAGACCAGCCAGGACAACGTAGCAAGACCCCACATCTTAAAAAAAATTTTTTATTTTTTATTTTCATTTTATTATTTTTTGAGATGGGGTCTCGCTCTGTCCCCCAGGCTGGAGTGCAGTGGCGCCATCTCAGCTCACTGCAAGCTCCGCCTTCCAGGTTCACGTCACTCTTCTGCCTTGGCCTCCTGAGTAGCTGAGACTACAGACGTCTGCCACCACGCCTGGCTAATTGTTTGTATTTTTAGTACAGACGGGGATTTTACCGTGTTAGCAGTCTCAATCTCCTGACCTCGTGATCCACCCACCTCAGCCTCCCAAAATGCTGGGATTACAGGTGTGAGCCACCGTGCCCGGCTTAATATTTTTTTTAGAACTTAGCAGGGCGGGGTGTCCCAGCGCTTCGAGAGGCCCAGGGAGGATCACCTGAGCTCAGGAGTTTGAGAGCAGCTTGGTCACCGTAGTAAGACTCCACCTCTCAAAGTAATCCTTAAACTGAGTGGGGCTTGATGGTTGTGCACCTGTAGACCCAGATACTCGGGAGACTGAGGCGGGAGGATGGCTTAATCCAGGAGTTGGAGGCTGCAGTGAGGTGAGATCGCACCACTACACTGCAACCTGGGTAACAGCATGAGACCCTATCTTTTTTTAAAAAAAAAGAAAGATGAGGACAACTTACTTACTAATGTCCACAAGCTAGTTTCCTAAACAGGATGATGCACTCTGGCCGGGTACAGTGGCTCATGCCACCTTTGGGAGGCCGAGGCGGGAGGATCACCTGCGGTCAGGAGTTCGAGAGCACCCCGGCCAACATGGTGAAACCCCGTCTCTACTAAAAATAAACAAAATGAGCCAGGCATGGTGGTGGGCACCTGTAGTCCCAGCTACTCGGGAGGCTGAGGCAGGAGAATGGCGTAAACCTGGGAGGTGGAGCTTGCAGTGAGCTGAGATCCGGCCACTGCACCCTAGCCTGGGCGACAGCGAGACTCCGTCTCAAAAAAATAAATAAATAAAGAAAATGAGGCAGGCATGGTGGCGGGCACCTGTCATCCCAGCTACTCGGGAGGCTGAGGCAGGAGAATCGCTTGAACGCGGGAGGCAGAGGTTGCAGTGAGCCGAGATCACCCCATTGCACTGCAGCTTGGGCAACAAGAGTGATTTGTGTCAAAAAAAAAAAAAAAAAAAAATCAGTCTGTAACTGGGGATGTTTCCGGGTGGATGGCCTCGGGTCCGGTCTGAACACCCTCTGCTTCCCCCAGGTCCAGCACGCCAGCAAGCAGATCGCCGCCGACAAGCAGTACAAGGGCATCGTGGATTGCATCGTCCGTATCCCCAAGGAGCAGGGCGTGCTGTCGTTCTGGAGGGGCAACCTGGCCAACGTCATCCGCTACTTCCCCACTCAAGCCCTCAACTTCGCCTTCAAGGATAAGTACAAGCAGATCTTCCTGGGGGGCGTGGACAAGCACACGCAGTTCTGGAGGTACTTTGCGGGCAACCTGGCCTCCGGCGGCGCGGCCGGCGCCACCTCCCTCTGCTTCGTGTACCCCCTGGATTTCGCCAGAACCCGGCTGGCCGCGGATGTGGGAAAGTCAGGCACAGAGCGCGAGTTCCGGGGCCTGGGAGACTGCCTGGTGAAGATCACCAAGTCCGACGGCATCCGGGGCCTGTACCAGGGCTTCAGCGTCTCCGTGCAGGGCATCATCATCTACCGGGCCGCCTACTTCGGCGTGTACGATACGGCCAAGGGTACGTGTGGCGGCCGTCGCAAAGTCCCACAGACAGGGGCTCGATACGCAGACATTCCCTCGGGGTCCCATGGGCTGAAGGTCCGAGATACGGTGTGGGCAGGGCTGGTCCCTCCTGCGGCCTCTCCTGGGCTTGGAGACGCCGTCTTCTCCCTGTGTCCTCACAGGCTCGTCCCTCTGTGTGTGTCTGTGTCGTCATCTCCTCTTCTTATGGGATGTCTTGGTCCATTTCAGGCTGCTATCACCGAATACCACAGACTGGGTAGATTATAAACAGCAAACATTATTCTCTCACAGTCCTGGAGGCTGGACGTCTGAGATCCAGGTGTGGGCAGGGCTGGTTCCTCCTGAGGCCTCTCTCCTGGGCTTGGAGACTTTGTCTTCTCCCTGTGTCCTCACAGGCTCGTCCCTCTGTGTGTGGTGTCCTCATTTCCTCTTTTTATGACATGTCTTGGTCCATTTCAGGCTATCACAGAATACCATAGACTGGGTGGATTGTAAACAACAGACAGTGATTCTCCCACAGTCCTGGAGGCTGGACGTCAGGTGTGGGCAGGGCTGGTTCCTCCTGAGGCCTCTCTTCTGGGCTTGAAGACGCCGTCTTCTCCCTGTGTCCTCACAGGCTCGTCCCTCTGTGTGTGTCTCTGTCCTCATCTCTTCTTATGGGATGTCTTGGTCCATTTCAGGCTGCTGTCACAGAATACCACAGACTGGGTGACTTATAAACAACAGACTTTGATTCTCCCACAGTCCTGGAGGCTGGAAGTCAGATCCAGGTGTGGGCAGGGCTGGTTCCTCCTGAGGCCTCTCTCCTGGGCTTGGAGATGCTGTCTTCTCTCCGTGTCCTCACAGGGTCCCTCTGTGTGTGTCTGTGTCCTCATCTCCTTTTAGAAGGACACCAGGCTCATAGGATGGGGGCCCACCCTGCTGACCCCCTTTACTGTTACTCACCTCTTTAGAGACCTCACATGCAAGTACAGTTGCATTCTGAGGCCCTGGTGCGGGCGGGGTGGGGGGGGGACGTCAGCATGTGGATTTTGAGGACACAATGTAACTCCCGTCGTCACTGTGACCCTTTAGAAGGTCAGGGCCCTCGCTTTTCCCCCAACAGGCCTAACCCCGGCCTCTGGAACTGTCTTGCTGGGCTCCCGTAGGTGGCAGGCGGCCTCTTCCCCTCCTGGCCCTGCCCCGACCTTTCGTGTTGTAAACATCAGCTGGCACCGAGCAGCCCCATGGAGGGGGCACAAGTGGTCTTGGAAGAGCTCGGCACCACCTCGGGTGGCCGTGAGCACACACTGGAGGCTGAGCCTGGTCTCTGGTGGCTGTGCAGGCGCTGGAAGGTGACGGGCCGTTCCCCCGCAGGCATGCTTCCCGACCCGAAGAACACGCACATCGTGGTGAGCTGGATGATTGCGCAGACCGTGACGGCCGTGGCCGGCGTGGTCTCCTACCCCTTCGACACGGTCCGGCGGCGGATGATGATGCAGTCTGGGCGCAAAGGAGGTACCCGCGCGGGCCCTGGAGGCGGGAGACCCTTGGTAGCGGGAAGGGGAACCAGGAGCTCCTTGGCCTGGGCCGGTGGGAGGCCAGGAACCATCAAAGGAGGCACTTCCCCGGGCGTGGGAGGCAGCAGTGTCTCAGAAAGTAACCGGCTGTGTGGAAGGATTTTCCTGAATGATGGGCTTCTGATCTTGGGGTTTCGTGGTGCAGGCAGCAATTGCTACATCCCCACCTCCTAGAACCTCCGCCCGCGTCCATACCCTCGATCCTGTCCTGTCTGCGTGGATGCCAGGGGTGGAGATGGGGGACGCCCAGGGCGGGGCCTGAAGTCCTGTGTCCAGCCCTCCTGGAGACAGTGGCTTAGGAGGACGGCTTGAGCTCAGGGCACGGGGTCACGAGAGCCTCGGGTTTCCCTCCTGTAATCAGAACTGTGGCTCAGGCGTCCGGGGCGTTACTTCTGTAAAATGTCTTCAGGGTGCAGGTGGCGTCCGTGTCTCGAGGAGCTCGGCGGCGAGGCCGTCACTGTGTCTCCGTCTCCCTGTCGTTGCAGCTGACATCATGTACACGGGCACCGTCGACTGCTGGAGGAAGATCTTCAGAGACGAGGGGGGCAAGGCCTTCTTCAAGGGTGCCTGGTCCAACGTC